TGGAGGGGCGTGACTGGGTTCTGATCTGAAGGAGGCAACATCAATGAAAAACATCACATCTCTCCCTACTATTTTTCTTATTGGGCTGCAGATAAAATGGGCACAACTCAGTCACAACCCTTCAGGGCTCTGGGGTCTATGGACCTAAGAAACAGACTTGTCAACAGAGCATGGCTTTGTTTGGAAAGAATTTCAAACTGTCTCTGGACAGGTCATGGTTAGCAGAGACAGCTGGGTAATCTTAAATCTGCAGGAGGTGGGGAAGGGGGTATTCCAGAAGCTGTCCATGTGTTCCATCTGACTTTATCACGTCGCTTTCTAGAAGGCTCATGTATTCGGAGCACCTGAGAGTGTTTCTTACCACGTCAGAACAAGATAGAGTCTTCATACCCGCTCAGATGGTGTAAACTGCATGTGAACAGCTCATACCAGTATGGACCGCTCACACTAGCCTGGACAACTCAAAAATTAGTCCCAACTTAGGAGAGAAACTAATAGATCATTATGAAAATATGGAAATCTTAATCAAAAGCCCATCCCTTCATATGAGAGAATTCACATCCAACAAAACCCTCATGGACCAATAGTTCTTATAAAACTACAGAAAGAGACAGTGATGAGTATCTGTCACAGGAAAACCTAGACTATAATGAGCTTAGCGACACATCTGGTGTTAGACACCTTTACCAGCTGGGATGGACTTGTGTGCAAGGACCCACTTGACATTTGCTTGTGTAGCAGAGAAGCATGTGAGTGGTGTAAAGAAGTCTCAAGGGGAGCCACTGACCATTCAGTGACTGTAATGTTGGATTAGCTTCCTGGTTTCCCTTGGTCTCGTCTTCAGGCCTGTAACCTCATTGTCTGCAGGACTCTAGCCATTGTTTCCTGCTCCAGCTAGGAAAAGAAAGGAAGGGAAATGTCCAAACCAACATTGTTGTCTCTCCCTTTACGTTAAAGGATTTCTGTGAATAAGAGTGAGTAAAGGGGCTGGAAGGTGGTCAGTTATTCAAGTGCCTGCTGTGTAAGCATGAAGACCTGAGTTCGGGTCCCCAGCACCCATATAAAAAGTCATGTGCAGTGATTCATGTCTGTAACCCCAACACTTTTGGGGGGACTTGAAGACAAGCAGACCCCTGGAACTTGTTGGATGCTAGCTTAACCAAATTCATGAGCTCTGGGTTTCATGTTCAAAAGTAAGGTAGAATGCAATCATGGAACAAGCTCAACATGGACTTCTGGCCTCCACACACACATGCCTGCATGAACACATACATATCACACACACACACACACACACACACACACACACACACACACACACGGGTGAATATGTTATCTGTCTGAGAATTGTGTTTTCCATTATCTTTCTAAGCCTGTTCACCAGGTAACTAAGAAATAGTTTGTCAGCTCTATCAATGAGCAGCGTTGTTATGACAAAGATGCTTGGATTAGCAGACTGTGTCTAGGTGGGGGAATGTCAGCTCTCTCAGTGAGCAGTAATGCTATGATAAAGTTGGCTCTGATCGGCTCTGTATCTAGGTGGGGAGTAATAATCATTGAGGGTATCACTCGTGTCTGTCTCTTGGAGGGTCCCTGGAAGCTACATGTAAGTGGTTTGAGAACTACATGACCATGACAACTCTTGGCAACAGGAGGTTTTTAAACTGCATGAGGTCCATATGCTCTTCATAGTAGGTGCTTTGTACGCTCATAGCTGGGCCGTCAAGCAGCCCTGTTAGACCAGCTATGGACAGTGCATGGACATAATTCTGTATGGATTCGGTGGAAGAGGCAAGTGATCAATAGCTCCCATCTTATTCCCTCAAAACAAATGGCCCTGTGTCTAGTTGAGGTTCAGGTGCCCCAAGAGTCTGAATGTTTAGGGAAATTTATTAGAAGACATTAGGGGAATCTGGGTGTGATGGTACAGGCCTGTAGTTCCAACACTGAGGAGGCAGAGGCAGAGAAGCATAACCGGAATTCAAGGTCATCCTCCATAGCAAATCTAAGGCCATTCTGCACTTCATGAGACCATGTCTCAAAAACAAAACACCTCGAGGATCTCTTCAATGCACTTGTTACCTCTCATGGGCAGAGCTGTGTTGTAGGAAGCCCCCAATCCCTCCCTGTTTTAATGGTGGGTGAGTGGGGAGCTGTGTACTAGGCTTTCTGTGGCAGCGGGGAAGGTCTAGAGAGGTGCTGATTGAACAAACCCTCATCTGCTAAACTAGTGCCTCCGGCCAGTGAGCATTTCAACCTTCTAGATGGAAGAGAACTGTGGTAGCACTAGTGGAAACCCATGAACTGTGGACTGGTGGCTGTGGATCCCCCATGGGACTGGACTAGGCCCTCTAGACATGGAAGACAGTTGTTTGGCTCGAACTGTTTGGGGGGCACCCAGGCAGGGGGATTGGTATCTGTCCCTGGTGCATGGGCAGGCTTCTGGGAATCCAGTGCGTGTGGTGTGACACCTTGCACAGCCTTGGTGCAGTGGGAAGGGGCTTGGACCTGCCTAGACTCAGTGAGCTGGGCTCTGCTGACTCCCCACAGGAGACCTCGATTTGAGGGATGTGGGGATGCAGGGTGGCTTGGGAAAGAGGGCTGGGGGGTGGGAGAAGGGAGGAGGGGGGTCTGTGGATAGCATGAGGAGTGAGTAAAAAAATTTCTTAATAAAGAAAAATTAAATTAAATTTAAAAAGTTAAAAGAACAGATTAAAAAGAGAGAGAGAACTGCGGTGGAAATGCTGAAGAACTGAGAAATAAATGTCTGTGAGGCCGTTGCTTAGGAGTGGACACACATATCCTTCTCAGAAGTCTAAGTTACCTGGAAGCTTGCTTTTCTGGAAAGTTAATGGGAGATGGCCTTTCACTCTAGCTCAGGCCTTATTTCGCTTGGGATGCTTGTTACGATTTTGAGAACAGTAAAACTTGAGTAAGATCGGCTTCATCCTAACATTGACCAGGTATCTTAGGGTTTCTATTGCCGTGATAAACACCATGACCAAAACAACGTTGGGGGGAAGGGGGTTATTCCAGCTTCCCACTCTCAGGTCACACGCCATCACTGAGGGAAGTCATGGCGGGAACTCAAGGCAGGGATGTGGGAGCAGGAACTGAAGCAGAGACCTTGGAGAAATGCTGCACATTGGCCTCCCCAGCCTGCTTTCTTATACCGTGCCAGGGCAGCAGCCCAGGGATGGCATTGCCCACAATAAGCTGGGCCCTCCCACATCAATCATTAATCCAGAAAATGTCCCATAGGCTTGCCTCTATGCCAATCTTGTGTAGTCATTTTCTCAACTGTGGGTCCCTCCTCTCAGATGACTGTTGCTTATGTCAAGTTGACCAAAAACAAAAACAAAAACAAAAACAAAAAACCAAAATCCTAGCCGACACCTGGGCATGGTGTGGCCCAGCCCCATGCTGTTTATTATGCCTGTACCATGTCACCTGACCAGTTACCCTATGAGGAATATGGACTTTCTGTCCCATGGCACAGTAAGGCTAAAGTAACATAGCTGATGTCCTGTGGCTGAAGAGGGATAATGCCATGCCTGCACTTAGACCCATTAGTTCTTAGCCTGTGATTTCTGTCCAATGTGCCCTTGATAATGAGGATAGTTGTGGCTGTGGCTCGGTGGTAGGGCCCATGTTTGGCATATGTGAATCTCTGAGTTCAATCCCAGCACCAAAAATTGATAGGTGGATAGATGGATGGGTGGGTGGATAGAAAGATGGTAAAAACCTGCATAAGAAGGTAGACAACACCCAGCAGGTGCTTAGCTTGAGCCAGGCACGATTGATTTAAGTCTTCTAATATATCAGCACTTAGATATATTGATATCTAATATATCAAGAGTTGATATCCAATAAATTAACTCTCCAGTCACTCTAATAGCAGTAAGAGGTAGGCGTCATTTCAGAGGAAGAAATAGAGGTTCAGTGAGCACGAGTCATTGACTTAAAGTCACCAGATATGGAGTGGCTGAATGGGGTTGGAACCCAGGCTTTGGTCTCAGCTCATCATCCTTGTGCTGAGCTGCCTAAGCAAAGCTTGGTATGCAACAGCCCCTGAAGAGGAATAGAAGACATACCATTCAGGTTCCAGGGGCTTCACTAGAGAAGAGACCTGCAGATGTCAGGAGACTCCTAAAGACTTCCATAAGTGATGAAAGATAGAAGGCACATTCAAGATGCCCCCCCCCCCATTGCAGGATATGGTAGCTGGAAGCACATGAATCCAGGGTAGAGGATGTTGCAAAAGTTGCAGCTTGTGAACAAGCTTGTATAAAAGTCCAGCTTGCATGTGCTTCTTAAAGCCCAAAGGTTGGTACACAAGCAATGGCGCCTAACTGTGTCTGCATTAGTCCAAAATAACCAAGATCAGAAGCTCATACCCCATTCCTCACGCTTGCTGCTCCTTCTGTGAGTGAGCCAAAGCTCTTGTGAGATGTCTGCAATCCCAGCACATCACCTTCAGCTCGAGGCTAGTCCTGCCATAATTCTCAGCCTCACATGTCAGAGTCGTGAGGTTCCTTAATGACCCATCTATAACTTGTCAGTGCCACACATGGTCTGCATGCTGGCCAAGAGGAAGAATGGGGACCCTAGCCCATGAGGCTTCTGGTCCTGCCTGAAATCACTCTTCTTCAAACCTTTCTTCTCTCGGGGGTTTTCACAGTGACAAAGCTACCCTATTGGGTGCTTGTGTCCAAGATTTCACTTGCTCTTAAAATAAACACCTGGGGGCAAGCCTGTCTAAGCAGACACCTGAATAGAGGTGTCCTCTTTGACCGTGAGGGGACAAGGCTCCTGAGATGGCATAGGCCTGGGACAGTGTTGACAGGCTGGGAATCAGGTGATTCTGTGGGACCACAAGGATCATGGGAGTTCAAAGAGGGGTTAGATAGGCAAACAGCTCCTCTCTTTTACAAACAGGATCATTTTTATTAGCACTCAAGGACAGGTATTACACGTGTTTTAAAATAGGAACTTTTATTGCTTAGCAGAGGGCTTGAAAGAGTTCTTCAGGACAGAGTTTGGATCAGGCCAAGATGCGCGGAAGCGAAAAAGAGTTCCCTCCGGAGATCCCAGAGGAATGTCTTTTTGTACCTGCACAGTACAGAAAATTCGGTTCACACCCTGTCTTCTCTTTTGTGACTCCCCCTGAAGCTTCCTGGATGTACACCAGCTTACATACAGACTTCTCCTTTAAACAGATACTGCACTGGCCAAGTGGGGTCTTCGCCACGCACTCTCTTTTCTTAGTAAATGCTGGCGAGCACCCAGATCCAGCTGACTATTTAAGCAGTCATCCAGGGCATGGCCCATGGGTGGGCAGTGGCGTTTTAACTAGTCTGGTACAAACCAACTCTGGTTTCTGGCCAGCGCAGCAGTGAACAGCCTTGTGTTGGGATGTGAGTTGTTCCATAGAAGCGCTCCTTGTATAAAGCAGGGTCAGCAGCTATGTCAATGTTAGAGCGTGCTAACTTTGATGGGCATGGCTGAAGTGCCTTGCAGGAGGGGACAGTGGACCCGCCCTTGGTCCTTGTGCTGATCATTTTTATGATGTTGTGACCAAATACCCAAATAGACAACTTAAAGGATGAAAGATTTAATCTGTGTCACTCTGTCAGGGCTCCATGGCAGCGGGCCTGTGGTGATCGGGCCTGTGGCGGGGCCAAATCAGCTCACTGCATGGCAGACAGGAAGGAGAAAGAGAGCCCCAAGGTACAGCCCCTAGGAATGTGCCTCCTACTTTTTTTTTAACTAGGCTCCACCTCTAAGAGCTTTCCTTACTTCCCAATGGTGTCAGCAAGTTATGAACTCACTGCTGAATTAACCCATTGATTGGGTCAGAGACTGTGTTTTCCAGTCACCTCTCAATCAGTGATTGGGGGTCACCTTTCAGTCAGTGATTGGGGGCACCTCTCAATCAGTGATTAGAGGTCACCTCTCAATCAGTGACTGGGTCACAAGACTTTTGGCGAGACACTTCATATCCGAGCTATAACCACTCTGACAGCTGTTGATGGAAGTACTGACTTCACATTTAGCACACTGCACCCTCCAGCTCAACGTTCTTACCCCAGGCACAGGGTACACAGTGGCATCACATAGATTTCACATACGTGTCTTTCCTCGGAAGTGAAATCAAACAGCGTGCCAGAAGTTCAAAAGCTAAGCTAAGCCGTTTGTGTCTCCCTCCTTCCCCCCTCCCCTTCTCTTTCTGTTTTGTGTTGTTTCTTGGATAGAGTCTCTCTCTTTGTAGCCTGGGTCAGCCTCTGAGTCTCAAATGCTGGGGTTGAGGTACAAGTTAGCATGCCTGACTCATGTCTCTTTTCTTAAGCCTTTCCCATGTGCTGCTATTGTGACAAAGTAACTCAGATTTACTTACAAGAAGGAAGAATTTATTTGGGCGCATGGTTTCAAAACTTCCAGTCTGTGGTTGATTGGCTGTGTTGGAGGACTGTGGTGAGGCAGAACTCCATGGCACAGGGCAGGATGAGATTCTATCTCGTGGCAGTTAGGATGCAGAAAGAGAGAAAGAAAGGGTTGAGGTCCCCAATCCTCTTTAAGGTCACCCCAATAACTGTTAAAGGTCCTGCTACTTCATGATAGAGCTGTCAGTGGGGGTCTTAGCCTTTAGTACATGGGCTTCCGGGGGACACTTCAGATCCAAATTGTTAACATAGCATTTGTGGGGCTGAGGAGACCGCTCAGTGGCAAAAATGCTTACTGCATAAGCTGAAGGACCCAAGTTCCAATTCTTAACAGTCACCTAAAAACCAGATATAGTGGAACATGCCTGTAGCCCCAGTACTGGAGAGCAGGGGAGCGGGATGCTGGAGAGAGGAAATCCTGGGGGTAGGAGGCTTGCAGCCCACTAGTCTGTCTGGAACCTCAAGTTTCCGGTTCAGTAAGAGACCCTGCCTCAAAGCATAAAGTGAAGAGTAGCAGCAACACAGGAAGACATTGAACATTGGCCTTTGGCCTCCACACGCACACATGGGTGCCTGCACCCACAAGCGCATACATACCACACACACATATACACACCCCCAAACTACAGACAAACAAACAAACAAACAAAAAAACCAAACAACCAAAATCTTATTCTTTGTCCATTCCTCTATTGGATTTAACCCTTCCATTCCCTGAGATGTATTGGAATATAATTGGAAAGTACAAAATGTGTTTGTGAATATGCACATGTTTTGATATAAAAATACATTGTGATATAATCTCTACAGCCAAGCTAGTTAACACATCCTCCTCTATCACAGCCCCCTCCTGTGTGGAGTAGAGAGAGAACACTTAATATCTACGATCTTAGCAAATTCCTTGCCTACAGTCCAGGGGCTCCCCCAAGATACTCAAACCCCACAGATTCTCAAGTCCTGTATAGCCAATGGTATAGAGCACACTTGGAATCTGTGCAAGTTCATACTCATGGGTGCTTGATTCCTCCCTGTGTGACATGCAATACCTAACACAGGTAAATGCTGTACAAGTGGTTGTCATGCTTTATCGTTTAGGGGGTAAGAACAAGAATACATGTCTGTATAGGTTCAATAGATACAGCTAAAGATCATTTCAGTCAGCGCTTGGTTGAACTGAAGATCGGGGACTGTGGACCTGGTGATGGTGGTCGGTAGTCACCATGCTGTATACTGGGTCGGCAGGGTTCACTGTCTGTGGCTGAATGTTGTTACACTTTGACCAATATTCGCTTAAGCCCTGGCCTTTATGTTTCTTATGGACTCATGCTATCTCTTCACTTGAAAGAGGTGAGCTCTTGGATTCACATTGGGAAGTTGTCCCAGGTTATCCTCATCTATACTTCGTGGTTTTGTTTGTTTTATTCTGTTTAGACAGAATTTCACCCTGTTGCACAGCCTAGCCTTGAACTTGTAAGCCCCTATCTCAGTCTCCCCAAATCTCCCCAGTGCTAGGTTCACAGGTGTGAACAGCCACACCCAGACCTTGTTCTCTACACACACACACACACACACACACACACACACACACACACACACACACGTATATTACTTTGCTGAAATTTTATGGGTTCCAATGATCAATCTTCATTTGTAACTTTTAAGTTCAGCATAATCCTCTCATGGTTCAGATTATTTTTTTAAAGTTTTCATCTAGGACTTTTATATAATTTTTAAAAAATAAATCTGATAGATCTGCAAAGTTTGGGTGTATAGATGCAGACAGAGGTCACATTTTGAGTACCCTGTACCCAAGCAGCTGGCTAGCTGTGGCAGAACATCGTCAGTATGGAGGGCTCTGCCTTTGCTGTATTTTTCTGGCTCTGGGTCCATCTGGGGATGGTCCACCGGGGTCCCAGCTGAGGCTGCTTTCCTCATGGGATTTCCATGCATTTTATAATTTGCTGGGGCTTGTGTGTTTCTGCTGCCACTGTTCTTTTTCACATCTTCCCCGGAGACTTTAGTGTGGCTCTTTTTCTATATATGGTTTTTGGATCAGCTTATCTAGTTACACACACACAAATTCCTCTTGGCATCTTTATTTGGCGTCCGTTCAGTTTATCTAGTTAGAGGAAAAGTGTCAGCTCTACAGCGTAGACATCTCTGATGCCCAAAGAGGCTTCTCATCCCATCAGGTCAAACGTATTTATCTTTAAAGCTTGTTCGGAAACTCTGAGGCATATCCTTTTCATTTATCCTTTGGTCTTTTATCCCACTTGTTGTTTTGGTAAATGTTATCTTTTGCTTCGTTACATTTTTTTCTGACTTGTTTGTAGGTCCAAAGAAACCTATTGATTTTTTTAAATTAAATTCTAAACCATTGGTTTGGTCAATTTTCTTAGTTTTATCCCCCCCCAATACATTTTTATGTGTGTTCTTGAATCTTCCCTGGCTTAGAATCATACCATCTGCAAATTAAAATGTCTTCCACTCTCTCCTTTCTTGTTTTCTACCAACTCTTGCTCTTATCTCACTAAATTGGGTAGAAAATAAGGAACAGTATTATATAATAACGGAATGTGCCCACTAGTTTTGAAAGATCCATCCTTTTAATTTGTTATAAAATGTTCACACATACAGAAATTAGAAAGAAAATCATACTCATCACCATGCACCCTCACTGGCTCCAGACTCCCAGTGCCCACCTCCTCGTGACCTATCGTCTTAACCTCCATCCCCACACTCTCCCTGGTTTTCTAAAGCGATCCCATTTTCCTTTAACTAATTCAACTATGTATCTCTAAAATATGGGAACTCTATTGGAAACTGTTGCAATGCTATTGTCACAACTAAAAGAAAGCTAGCAGCCATTTCTGTGTGTCATTCGGTGCCAGCTTGTGTGTGCATTTGCCCATGCACAGGGTCCCTCCGACAGAGATCTAAACCAGGTCCTCAGTGAGCCTGGCTGATAGATTTTATAATTCTCTTCTGCCTCTTACAGATTCTCCACTCATCTGTTTGTTTGTTTTTTCCTCTAATTTTCTTTCTGTTGCTGTCATAAAACACCGTGACCAGAATCACCTTAGGAGCAGAAAGGTTGATTTGTTTTACATTTTCAGGTGACCGTCCTTCATTGAGGGAAGTCAGAGCAGGAACTCAAGCAGGAGCTTGAATCAGAAGCCATGGAGGAGTGTGCTTGTTGGCTTGCTCAGAGACCCCACGCCTACTCAGCTTTTCTTATATAACCCAGGATCACTTGCTTGGGGAAAGCACTACCCATAATGAGCTTTTTCTCCTCCATCAACTAGCAATCAAGACAAGACTCCACAGACATGCCCACCAGCCAATCTAATCTAGACAGTTCCCCAAGGGAGGCCTCCCAGTCATCCTTTCAGATGACTGCATCAAGTTGACAAAGCTAACGATATCTGCTTTCTTCTTCACAGTCTTGATGATGCATTGTGGAAGTCTATTCATCCTGTGGCATTTTTTTCAGCACCCTGGGCTTGGTTGGTTGCATCTTGAGGGTGTCTTCTGCATGGCCCTCTGTCCATGTCCAGGAAAATGGTCAGGGTTTAGATAGAGCCCATTCATAATAAGTTTGATTGCTTGGGCAGAGCTTCATAGATAGCATTACATCTGGCTATCTTTCAGTGTCTCTCTTTCAGTGATTTTTACCAGCAATAAATTATTGTCTAGATCCATTCATTGGTTATTCTGATAGAACCGTTTTCCCTGTTGATTCTTTGAACTTCTATCCAGACAAACTTTCCCTGATTATAGTGCACGCAAGAAAAGCTGGCTGTCTTGAGTTCTTCTCTTTAACAGTGTTTAAAATAATGAGTTTCTCTATCAATCTATATAGGTTAACAGTAGGCTTAGGGACTGGCACTGGGCATCCTTGGGTTGCAGCCTGGTGGGGTAGCCCTGAAGATGCCATGCTTATGGATATTTCCATGTCTCTAGCCAACTGGCTTTGTGCTGTTAGTCCCTCAGTCTTATGACCTCAATATGTTCTAAAATTCTGGCACAATTCAAAGTTATTTTGGTCCTGGGAATGGAATCAGTTAATCCTTTCATCATGGAGCTAGGTGGAAATATTGTTTAGAGACCATAATCTGGGTGAAGTAGGGGCTCCCTGTGGAAGAGCTTAGGAAGTGAGCACATATGGTATGTATGTGTGACAACGATCTCCTGATAGTTACAGCCATGTAAACCCCTCAACCTGACCATGAGTTGGGAAAAGTGATAATAGGATATTGCCTGCAAAATTAGGTTTGAGAAAAATAGGAAGAGAGTGGTGTCTGCCTCACTCTATCTTGCTTGTTCTCTAAGGGAGCCAGGCTGCTCTGTTGTGGTCCCGAGTTGCCCTGCAGGGAGGCCAGCAGGCGAGGGAGCTAAGTCTCTGCCAACAACCATGGGAGGGAACTTGGAATTGGTTTTTCTTGTTCAGGCCTAAGATTGTAACAGGCTTCCCAGCTACCTTGACTACAGCCTCCACAGAGCCAGAGGCCCCAGCTGAGACATAGCTGGATTCCCAAGATAATAAGTGTTTGATGTTTTAAGCCACTAAATTTGGGGGTAATTTTTATGCAATTATACTCAATAAACAATAACGAGTGTGCTGTATTTTCAAAGTTGCACTGCATGATGGTTCGTACTGATATCTTTTGCCAGGGCTTCGGGGCTCTTGCATTCATATTCTCTTGTTCCCGTGTCTCAGGTTCTGATTCTCAAAGTGATTATGCATTTGTCTTACTCTGCTAATCACACTCCAGTTCCAGAGATAACAGTATCGGTGTTGCCAAGGATTCAGGGCTGGAGGCTCAGTTAGGATTTCTTGGCCTTCATTCTTGTTTTTGCAGCAAAGCCTAGCGGGATGGACCACCAAATGACCTCAAGTAGGAAAGGAACCCTGGGGAAGCTCTGGGGCCTCCGGTGCCTCTCTTTCCATGGCAGCCTATCCCAGACCAATACTGTGTCCTGCAGCAGCTCTTTAAAATACCTGGGATTCATGTTCAGTCTTTTGATTATGTCACAAATGAACACTTAGATTACTTTTAATTCTTGGAAATAAGCTTTTGTTAGTATGACTATGGAAAGTACTTGCATGGGTCTAAAGTCAAACACACAACACAGGGTTTTGTTGTGTGCAGAGGTGTCCAGTCCTGGATCCTTATCTCCTTCTTCTCTATGGATACTTCTCCATATAGACAGTCATTTATAACGTTTAACATAGCCTTTTTTTTTAGATTTCCAAAATGCTCTTTTCTTTGTATAAACTTCTAAATGGACACATAAAACATAAAAGAGCTTTTTAAGTTTTATATAGGATATTATGGGGGGGGGCGTCATATGAAGTTTCTTTAGCTACTTGGTTTATGTGATGGTTAACGTTTCATGTATATTTATTGTGAGCTTACCTTCCCCGGTTTAGGTAAGTGGGGGTGAATTTAGATTTCTTTTCTCCATCATGCCTTTTTTCTAAACACTCATCCTAGCCATGTGCTCAGGAGCTGCATGGTGTTAGTCACCTCCCAAGCCGCTCCACAGGACTCCACTGCAGGATGGCTCCTGTTCGGCTGTGCCTGGGGACTCCCCAGGTTTCTGCCTTCACAAATAATGCCATAGAAAAATGCATCTTCCTGTCTGGCCAGTCTTTTCTTTTTTCTTTTCTTCTTTGTTCCTTCGTTCCTTTCTTTCTTTTTTTCCTTTCTTTCCTTTCCTTTTCTTTTATTTTTCCTTTTTCTTGGAAGTCAGCCACCCAGATACACAAGCTAATGATTACAGTGTCCTCAGCAGTGCTGGGGATTGGGCTGGACTTGGCTTTGGCCTTTTCTTCTCTGCTTTGGCCTTTTCCTCTCTGCCACAGCTTCTCCTCCTGCACCCACTGACCTTGTCATTCACTGTGTTCTAAAGCACCACACCATGTCACTGTGAGTTGTCCCTCTCCATGACGGCCCTGCCCATGTCAGGCCTGAATTTATGAGCTGCACAGGGGCTTCTCAGTGGCCCAAGCTGCTGCAGAGTCGAGCCTTGCTCTTGCTGCTGTAGAGAGGGAAGCAATGTAGACCCCAGAGCCTTTCCCGAGGGCCTGGAGGCCATTCCTTCCCCTCTTGAGGCCTTCTTTCCATGGGTTGGCCCTTCATGGACCTGGGTGGTTGCCCTGACATGTGGTCTGAAGACTCTCCCGAGAATGACGTATCAGATTTGTGGCCTTTCTGAGGTCGTGGAGACAGGTGTCCCTCGGCACCATAGTCCTCACAAGATCCGATGCCTATTCCTTCTCACTCCCTCCCACTGAATCCATCTGTCTGTCTTACATATCTGCAAACTAGCAATCCTATTCTCTCCTTGGAGCCAGATCCGGGGAATGGCTCACAGCCCGCACCTGCCCACGTTCCTCACCCCATGGGCTGGATCCCGCCTGCTGTCCCTTGAAACTGCTCCAAGGTCACCGCTGGCTGCCTTGTCAGGGTGCCCAGTACATGAGGGCCCCTTATAGACGGCCTCCTGGCAGCACGGTACAGATGGGCTCTTCTCTCTCTCTGTCTCTGTCTCTGTCTCTGTCTCTGTCTCTCTCTCTCTCTCTGCCCCTTCTTGTCATGATGCCTGGCAGAGCTGGTTCCCGGGGGCTCCCTCTGCCACCTCTCTCCCTGTCCTCTCCACGGTGACTCACCCACGCCTGCACCTCTCACAGCTCATTCTTAATCTGTTGTCTAACCTGGGCTGCCTTCTAAGCTGTTCTTGGAAGGTGCCCTGGCCCCTTTAGCTAAACTGGTCCAAAAGCCCCACCCCAAGGCCAATCTTTTCCCAAGAAACCCTTTATAGTGAGCAGAAGCTCCAACCATCTAGCCAAGGGCAGTCTTCCAATCCCCCTCAACCTCACCTCACATTCAGCCCAAATTTTGGCTGACTTTCTCAGTCTCCATCCTCCTCCTGGTCTATACCAGCATCCTTTCTTGCTGGCTTGGACCCCTGCAGTGGCCACTTAGCGGCTGTCCATTCTTCCTCCCTGTTTTATCTCTCTGGAGAAAGTGGTGTGGTTGGGCTACTCCCCTGGCTGTTAGGCCAGGGTGACCATCTTTGGAAGGGCTCCAAAGTCCTCACATCTGGCCAGTGCTCTTTCTACACTCTGACTTATTCCAGCTGCTGGCTCATTCCTTGCACCAGGTCATCTGGACAGCCTTTAGTCCTTCTGAATTGCTTCTCTCTCTGCCACCCCAGGACCTTTGCGCCGGCTCTTGACTCAGCCTGGAAAGCTCTCTTCCCCGACTTGCTGATAGTGTCCAGTGTTGCAGACTCCCACTCACTGGCAGCCCCGCCCAGGTTCCTCAAGAGGTTGAGCCTGCTCCTCTTCCTTTGGGGCCACACCCTCCCTTCCTGATGCTCACCACAGTCCTTCCTGATGAGTTTTGTTGGCCTGTGGACTGGTGTCAGCCTCACCCTCCAGCCAGTGAGCCATGTTTTGTGACATCACAAGTCCTCACAGGCTGGATGCGGATTTGGGGAAAGTCCTTTGACCTCGCTTCAATGGTCTTTCTCCTACAGTGGGATAATGAGGTTGATTTCATGGGATTGTGAAGGACGGATGGCCGCGACTCTGCTTTCACACAGGGCTGGTGAGTGAGACATGGCAGCTGCACCCAGGGCCTCCCAGCCGCACACAGTTCTGTCCGCCCGGTGCTGTGCTCCGGCCCCACAACCGTGCTCTCTGGCACCCAGGGAGAGGTGGGCAGTTTTGGAGCCGAGGAGAATAACGGAAACAGACGGCTGTCTAGCAGCCTCTGCCCACTCCTAACATGCAGGATTGTCCTCCCCAAGTAACAGAGATGGGTGACCCCAGGTACAGCTCCACAAGACCCCAGCACTTCCCTGTCCACAGAGCTGGCAAGGAGCCTCAGGTCCAGGTCCAAGTGCGGACCCCAAGGTCACACATAGAGCACAAGGACTCTCCAGGGCAGGACAGCGGGCTCTTTAACCATGCTGCTACTTCAGGAAGGGAAGGAAGAACAGTGTCCCGCACCCCTGTCAACTGCACACACAGGGGACATATGCTGTGTGAGTCAGAGGTACATCAGGAAGGGGCACGTCGCCCTCTGGGGACTCAGGCTCACCTGTCTGTCAAACGTTTGGAGTTACTGTGCTCTCTGTCTCCCTCTGCTGGTGTCAGCCAAGCGTTGCTGCCGGAGTTCAGCAAAGGAAGAACAAGTGCCCTTCACACACAGGGGTCTGTGCCCTCCACTGCTCTCAGATCAGTGAGGAGCGAGAGTCCTGCCAACAGTCTCTTCAGGTGCATGGCTGAAAACAGGAACATGAGCGCCATGGAGGTCCAGAAAGCTGGCCATGTTGCCTGGGGAACTGATGGAAGGAGCCGCTAGACAGCAGCCTCCGAAAGTGGGAGTCAAAGTCAGAAGAGAGACCGGTCCCTGCCCCTCCCTCCCACAGGAGGAGGGGACACTTACCTGGCTGAGACCTTGGTATTGGCTGAGTCTCACCAAGGGTAGATAAAGTCCCTGCACCAGCTGCAGGACACAGTAGTGGCCCTCTTCTTTCACAC